AAAGAAAGAAAAAGAAAAAGGAATTCCATGTTCATTTTGTTTTATCCATATACTTGCTGGATCATTGTCAAACTCTAAGTTGCCCCTTGAAAAAACTGAGTCCTCTCCCATCCCTACTCCAGCCAGAAGCCATCATTAATTAATAAAGAAAGCTTCTGGTTTCTGGTCTGGGGATTGAAGGGTATTCCAAAGTGGGTCAGGAGAACCCACCGTAAAACACAAAGATGAACTTCAATGGTAGCTACACTTTGGTATGTTCTAGAAGCTTATTCCTGTGACTAGAGACAGTGTCACACAACAAATATATGTACATACATACTTATATATACATATATACACATACACACATATGTATACATATGCATATGTGTGTGTCTGTGTGTATAGACTTTCTGTCCAATCTGTTCCTCTCAAGAATCCTGTCAAAACAGCACATAAGAAAGGGCTTACTTTTGAATTGGAGAGTGATTTTCCCTTTCTACATTTAAATTACAGTGGCAACTCTTCTGTAGTTTTGCTTTTTGTTTCGAGGTTGCTTAAATCTCACCAATCCTCCAAATAACAGTTACATCTTTCTCAAATGTTCCTCTGTCCAAAGTTCTCATACTTCCTTTAGAATTTTATTCTTACTCTATCGTTCTTATTGCTTTATATCTCTCTCTTTATATGCTAAAATGAAAAACACAGATTGCTGAGACTAAGGGAGAAATAAAATGTAATTAAGAAATCTATCTAAACAAGAAGAAAATAGGTTTGAGTTTAGAAAAAAAAAGGAAGAAAGTTTTTGGTTAGAATAGTAGATCTATTTAGATTATGTGACTTTTAAATAAACATAAAAAGTACTTCTTTAGTGTTATTTAAAATTTCAATACATATTTTATGAGATTTAACTAAAACAACTTAAATTGCAAATGTAGTTTTTTATGTTCATCTATTTTTTTTCACTAAAGTTTTTCAAGCTTTTCCTCTAATAGTGTTCTCAGTTTGATATGGCTCTCATTCTCTCCTCTCAAAACACACATACACATAAACACACACACACACACACACCCCACACATACACATACACACACCACACCTCTTTTACCCAAGAATAAGTGCATTTCTTCTCACTCATAAAATAAATGTCTGTCCCTTTTCAACAGACAGACTGCTGCAGAAAACTAAAACTGTTTAAAATTCAGGGAAGATGAGATTGTAGGGTTTCAAATCCTAACTGATATACTTATAACACAATTATTGCAATTGAAGCTCAGAGGTCATTGTGGAAGAGGATATAGAAAGAACTAAAAGAGTCTGAGGAAGATAAAAGCTGATGTGTTATTGTGTCTCCTTGAAATTCCAGAGAAGCTATGTCTGTGCATTTTCTTCAAGATGGCTGACTAAACAGGACCTAAACAGTGACACCTGTAGCAGACATGTTATCATGGACAGAGGAGAGCTCACTAGGCTTCAGTCTAGTCAGAACTATAGACATATAAGGAATGCTGAGTATGGGAAAAATAGCCTTTCCCATTGAACAGCTCCCTAATTGTTTATCCAATAACAAGTGGTCATGCTTGAAATCAAGTACATTCTGGTGACATTGTTTGAAATAAGCAAATTCTCTTTATGCATTTTGGAATGTATGTATGTATTGTGTATATGTATTTAACAATAACTAAAGAATAAAAAGTGATGAATTTGAGAGAAGGGAAGATTACACAAACAAGGAGGAGGGAGGGATGGAACGGGGAAATAATGGAATTATATTATAGTTTCAAAAATAAAAAAAAAGTAGTGTCAGAATGATTAGGAATGTGAGGAGACTTAGGAAACTGGAAGAAACTGAAATTACCTCTAAAATTAAGTATTTAGCTTAATAATCAAAAGCTCATCTGAAATCCACAGTGGAGGATATGAAATAAGACAGTTACAGGGAAGCTCTGACTACAAGGTAATTATTACAATGCTTCTGAACCCCAGCAATGTAGGTGTCAACAAATCAAAAATGTGAGGTGAACTAAGGAAACATCTAACTCAAAGCAGAAGTTGTGTCTTTTGTTTTGCCTGCCAACCCTGTGTGTAAAATGCTGATACACACTACAGCTAATACACTACAACCCTGTGTGTAGAATTCTGATACACACTACAGCTAACACACTACAACCCTGTGTGTAGAATGCTGATACACAGTACAGCTAACACACTACAACTGTGTGTGGACTGCTAATACACACTACAGCTAACACACTACAACCCTGTGTAGAATTCTGGTACACACTACAGCAAAAGTATTTTCTCAGCTTGTCTGAAACATAAACTCTATGCCACATAGACTTTTGGTTGTAGGATAGGTCAAGATAACAAATTGAGGATGTAGGACTACATCATGCACCTACTCTTTTTTAAATTAAGTTGTGAGTGTAATGCAGATTATATTCCTTCCAGAAGAATATGGGGCACTGAAATGTGAAGAATAAGGACATGAACTGAGAAATGGTAAGCTGAGGAGGGATGTCTTCTTGTCACTGGAGACAAGTGTTTGGAAAAAGTCTCATGCTCAACATATTACTTCTATCACATTCACATATATTTCCTGTGTCTTTTCAGAACTTTTCCTCATTCCGTTTTAGCAGTGAACATTTTCTCATTGACTGAACGCATGAATCGACCCATTCACCTTTTCATTTTTATTGTTTATTTGAGCTGATATAACGAGATATTATATACTGGGTGGCACATGAATACTAGCAATAGTAAACCCACTTGTGGAGGAAAAGTTCAACATCAAATAATTGGGCAATTTGGTGTCTGATAATGGACAGTTTCTTGTCTCAATGATGAAATCATTTTTCCCTTTTTTTCCTCTTTACTTTTTGAAAAGGATGATAATAAAATTAATTTATTAATATTAAACATACAATAAGATAAAAACTAACACTTTGGATTTGAAGAAAATAAATAAAAGGGGAAAAAGAGCCCAAGAAAGGGCTCAAAAACCAGAAAACCTTGCTCACAGTATCAGGAATCTCAAAAAAACCAGTAAACTAGAGGCTATCTATCTATCTATCTATCTATCTATCTATCTATACACACACATACACAAACACACATAAAGGATGTGTAGTGTGTCTCTTTTACTGTACAGTTCCTGTGTGTGTGTGTAATTTGTTTTCAAAATGGAAACCCTGACACCACATTGTGAGACAAGAAACCTGGAAAGAAGTCACTGAGTTCAATTTCTGTTAGTCATCTACTGATAGGAATGCAGCCTACTTACCTTGAAGAAAGCAAATTTTTCATTTGTATTCAAATGTTGTCAATTGGAGATAGTTTCTGGAGTATCTAGTTAATCTTCAGCTCTAGCATCCCATCATATGCAGAGCAGGGCAGTCTCTAAGCATATGGCCTCAGACTTCATTAGACATACGTGTGTCTGTGTATCCATCTTTGTGATTTAGAGAACCTTGTTTCCTTGATGTTCTCCATTCCTTCTGCTTCATACACTCTTTCTACCTTCTCTTCTATGGGGTTGTCTGAGCACTTTGGGGAGGGATCTGATGGAGATATCTTATTTAGGGTTGATTGTCTTTCAATCTGCATACTGTAAGACTGTGGGTCTCTGTATTTGTTTCCACAAAAATGAGATTTCTTATGTCTTCATAAAACAACAAGAAGTTCAGTAAAATATTCAGGGTTTATGTTTTAATTTTTTTAATTATTCTTTGATTATATTTCTCTCTTCCCTTTTCTCCTTCCGAATCTTCCAATATACCCCTCCCAACTCTCCTCCAAATTCATAGCTTTGTTTTTCTTTTGTATCAATTATTATTGCATATATGCAATATATATGGATATACACATATATTCCTAAATATAACCTGGTAGTCAGCTTTTATGACATCAGGACTGATAGTTTGACTCCTTTTATAAGCATTTATGGGGGTACTTACCTCATGAGATACTTTTGCATTTGTAATTAAAGTTTAGTATTTATTTAGTGAATCCATGTCATATCAGGTAGTTTGTTTGTTTCCAAGTTTTGAGAATTATGAAACAAATAGCTATAAATATCCAAGTTTCCATATTAGAGTGGACATAAACTTTCAACTCATGGCTAAATTACCAGAAGCATGTTTTCAGGGTTGTCCTGTCAAAATACATTGAATTCTATAAATGTCTGTCACACTGTCTGAAAAAAAAAGACTGTACTATTTTTTTCTGCCCTACATTAATGCATAACTTGTCCTGTTACCACTTGATTATATAAGCACTTAGTTTTTTTTTCTATGATCCTGACTTGTGACCATTCTAGCAGTTATTGTATGCCTTTATTGGAGATGTGAACAATGCTTATTCACTTCAGATGGGATACCAGCAAAAGATAAAATAAATAACTCCATCTAAGTTTTGGGTGGTGAAGTGATGTGGGATTCCCCTCTGTATGCTATGAATATGTTTTATTGCCACTGGTTAATAAAGAAATTTCTTTTGGCCAATTGCTTAACAGAATATAGCCAGGTTGGAAAAGACAAAAAGAGAGTAGGCAGAGTCAAGCAGAGACACCATGTGGCTGTCATAGACACACACACCGTAACCTTGTCAATAAACCATGAGCCTCATGGTAAAATATAAAACACTATGAATGGATTAATTTAAGGTGTAAGAGCTAGCTAGAAATATGCTTAAGCCATTGGCCAAACAGTATTGCTATTAATATAGTATCTGTGTCATTATTACAGGTCTGAGCAGCCAGAACAAATAAACAATCTCTGTCTACACAAATGGCACTCCAACGAGTACTGATTGCATCCACACAAAATCTGAGAGAGCTTGGAAAGGGGGCTGGAGAGATGGCTCAGTGGTTAAGAGCACTGCCTGCTCTTCCAAAGGTCCTGAGTTCAATTCCTGGCAACCATATGGTGGCTCACAACCATCTGTAATGAGGTCTGGTGCCCTCTTCTGGCCTGCAGACATACACACAGACAGAATATTGTATACATAATAAATAAATATTTGTGCTCGCTTCGGCAGCACATATACTAAAATTGGAACGATACAGAGAAGATTAGCATGGCCCCTGCGCAAGGAAAGGAATTCGAGGCATAAAAGAATAGAGTTAAGCACTGCTTCTTGGTAGCTAGCATTTTCCTTTTTCCAGATGGGCTTGATTTTTGATAGTGAGCAGGAGCGTCCTGGCTCTTTTAAGAGAAATTTTGCTGGTTCAGCATTAGCAGCAAAACAAAACAAAAAAAAATGCACTGCATCTTTAAGAAATGGCAGCTTCCAGGTTTGTGATAGTTGCACATACAGCTCTGGCTCCTTCAGGAGGTCAAGCACTTAAATGGGGTCTGTGAGCAGTGTGTTACAAATGGCTCTCAGAGGTAGTGGACAAGCCTCAACCATGTTGGACTGGTTGGAGCCAGACCGTGTAGAGTTGGTCCTAGCCATGCCTGCTTAGCATTAAAAAAAAAAAAAAACACACACTCATGCTCAGAAAATAATTACAGATTTACCAAAAAAGACAGATTCAGATTTAAAAAAAAGACCTCTAAATGGGTCACAGTGTTGGATAAACGTACATAGGCTTGAGAGAGCAAAAAGAGTAGAGACAGTTATAATATAAAAGAATACAGACTGTCACAGATTAAAGGAATAGAGATAATAAAATAAGTATTAAACTTGTAGAAATAGTATGAGAGTAGAGAAAAATAAGCCATGTATAGATGGAAAATAGACAGAGAGTCTGGATAATGTATAGCTAAACCAGCATATATAACTTTCAAGTTAATGACTTCAAAATTTGGGTCTAACGATGTTGCTTTAGAAAAGAGGTTCTGCTTTTGTTTCCACAGAAGATGAGAACCTATGGATGCTTTCCAGACTACTGTGGTTTGATGGACCAAGAGCTCCTGAAAATTCTCCGTGAACCCCAAAATTACTTTGCACAACAAGAGTAGGAAGTAGTTTGGAAGAAAATATGCCCAAATTTCCAAATTTTATTTATAAATGTTTCTTTACATATAAAGTTATGCTATAGAGATGAATACTTTGCATTGGTATGGATCTTGGTTTATTGATACAAATTAAGATCAATTTTGTTATATGTATATTTCTTCTCTTGATTAAGATATTATGTTTGTGAAGCTCATTTAAAAATGTAATATATAGTTAAGAAAATCATATAATTATCAAGCTTGTAGTCATGTTAGATAGGTTTTGTAGATTTATAAAGATGTATTTCATTTAGATAAATAATATTCAAACCTTCCAAAGACCTATGGGATATGACATTTAAAATGTTTTAAAAACTTACAACTTCTCGTAATAATGAGACTCATCTGCTCTTGGCACCACCAATCTACTTCAAAAGGATGATGGGCATAGAAGGGACTCCATATGGAGTTTGTTAGCCATTTGGGCAAGAAACTTCTCTTGCCTAGATTGCTTGATGTTATGCTGTATAAACTGGACATGTAGGACCCACAGAATTGCTAAACTTGCTAAAAGTGGGTAAGATGGTCCTTCAGGGTTCTTACTTCATGATAAAATTTCCAGACATTTTATAGGACACAGAGGAAAGCAACAGATGAACTTTGCCAGTACAAGGCATAAGTCTCCTTCTCCAGCAATGGGTAATGGGCTTTATAGCTCCCAACAAATGACCCTGTGAATTTTGTAACTTTCAGGACTAATCTGTGCCTTGTAATTTTTGTTAACTTTCTAAGTCTTATGATGGTCTTTCTTCTCTATGGAAGGAAATGCATTAAGTCAGGGAAAGCAGTTACAACACAGGGGTCACAATAATGCCGAGGAACATAGGAAATTTTGGAGAGTGGGAAATTGCAGATAAACATGCATAGGACATGCTGCATTGATAAGTTGTTCTTTCCTCCAGTCTCCATCGAACTGAATTCATACATTTTTGTTGCTAAAGAACTGCTGAAATTTTCCTTTGTAATGAAAATGACAAGGCTGTCAACAAATGCAGCTGTGTGAAGGGCAGGTTCCTGGTAGAGGATGTAGGCAACAAAACACCATGATTCCATAAAATCCTGGTAGATTTTGAGGAACAGCAACAATACCTTCCACTATGCTGAGATAAAATTCAAGGTGCTTTAACTCCAACTGTTTCTGCTTTCTGTGTTACCTCCTATGGATCTATCACATGCTATTCTTTTGAATGATTGTTCTACCTTCCCACAGGGATAGAATAACTCATTATTCATGCTCTCTCTGTTTCTTTTCCTAACTCGAACAGCTGTTTTTTTTTTTCAGATAAGTCTCCACTAAAATTCTTTTCATTATTCATTTCATATCTTAATAATTTAAAAGAACACTGTCTTACATAGCTTCCCCAGAGGTTGATGACATATATAACATCCAATGAGGATTCAGTCACCACAGACTTACAATCTACGTGTAAGTAATTAAATCCACATAGGGCATTGGAATCCTGATATTCTAGGAGAAAAACAAACAGGATATTTTCCACATATAAATACTGAAATTTTTGGTCTTGACATTAGTAAGGAATGGATGATAACTATGTTGAGGTTGTTCTTGAGTTCTCCACTATTGCTAAGGTCTATGTGTTGTTGCACTGGAAAAATAGAAAGAAGAATGACACTGAAAAAGATTAATGATAAAACACTAATTAACATTGTGAACTTGAGTGTTCAGTCTTATTTATAAGTCAACCATAATGATCCCCTCCCCCAGTACTGACAAGTTCATTGCAGATGTGCTATGGCCCTCCCCTGACAAACCTATGGTGTATGTTCCAAATCAATCAAAGTGTCCTGAATTGATCACAGATCAATTTTTTTATGAAAGTTAAGTTCAATCTTAAAGTTTTCATAACACCAACTAGACAGCTATTGTTGCCAACAGGCACTTCCAGAAGTAGTTAATTTTCTTAGGAAGTTTCTCTACCTTCAAATCTATAACTGATCATAACTTTAGGGTGAAAGAGCCAGTGTGTATCAACGTTGCTCATGAAAATCAATCTTGAATCTCTTCTGTAGTTGGACTTTCTTGTTAAACTTTCTTTAAACTGTCAGCCTCTAAATAATGACATGGAAACATTTTATTAATTATGAAAGCTTGGCCTTTAGCTTAGGCTTGTGTATAACTACATCTTATAAATTATCCTGTTTCTTTAATCAACATTCTTCAACCTTGTGATCCTTCTTCCTTAGTCTCCTAAGTGTTTAGATTGAAAACAAGTACCACAAACTTTACAAGTTTTGTCATGTTTTAGGAACTATGAAGTGTATTTTGGTATATAAAATAGACATAACATTCTTCTTTCTATATTTTGATGTATATGGGTTACTATTATGGCATAATGAAATCAAACTAGTTTTTCAATATTGCAGCCAATATTTCAGTTGCCATCACATAGCAACTGTTCTTGATTATATAATGAACAAAATAATAGCTATCCATTAAGTCTTTGTACCTTATAAGTAGAAGATATACACCATAGCCTGTAACAACACATATTACCTGTTTTAAAGTTTATCAGTCATTGCTCAGTGCACATTGGTTTATTATTCATCAAAACATGAAACTAAACAGATTCCTTGTCTCCCACTGATGAATTCTCATGACATTTTATAGAAATAAGAAATTCTAAAATGACACTGACTTGCAGAGATATAAATGCAACAAAAATATGAAGACTATCAGAGCGAAATTCAAAAGAGTTGTTCATAGACTTGATGGAAATGCAGAATCCTGAACTAGAGAACATGTCACTGAAACAAAGTAGCCATGGAACATCAGGACACACAGGAGAAGCACTGTGGAGGAAAAGGATGAAGGAGACACAGCACTAGGAAGTCAATACAGAACAAAAACTCTCAGATGATCTACTGAATATGGGAAAGGCAAAATGGTGACATCAATACAACTAAAGAAAATTGCACAATTCACTAAATTATAGATAAATTCCAATCCACATTTTGATGTATACAAAAATGCTGTTCAAATTAACACTTATTCCCAATTAAACTTTTTTCAAAAAAAAAAAATATAATAAATTTTCAATGTTTTCACTGTTTCAAATAATAATGCTCTCAATAAACATGCATTTAAAAAACCCTTTCTCTATTCAAGGTTATAACAAGAATAGGAGGATTTTTAATATTTTAAAGAATAAAACTTCTAAATGTAATAGCAGAATTTTTTTCCATTAGTTACGAAAAGATTGTGCACAGTTATAGCTTTTACAGATGCTTTTGTAGATCTAAACTAGCATGCTGAAACTACTGAATGCCACTATTCATACATACTACAGCATACAGACTCAATTAGAAATTAGACAATTTAGGTTGGTATACCTGAAATCGAAGCTGATGGTAAAACAAATTCTAAGTTTTCTGTAAATCTTAACATCCTGATTTTTTTTTTATTTTTGAGACAGGGTTTGTCTGTAGCTTTGGAACCTGTCCTGGAACTAGCTCTTGTATACCAGGCTGGCCTTTACCTCACAAAGATCCTCTTGCCTCTGCATCCCATGTGCTGAGATTAAGGGTGTGTGTCTCCACTGCCCGGCCAATATCCTGCATTCTTAAGGACAGATGTAGGACCAGGGGACAGAAAGAACATAGCTTACACTATTATGGGGAAATGTTATAAAACATGTTCTGCCTAGAGCAAGCTTGCTAAAACTAGAGAAGCTTGGATATGTGATTTTAGTAGTGAAGAAGCTAGTATCCCAGTGACAAAAATTCATTGATAGAATGCTATGGATTCAAAGAAATACTTCTATGTTTCCCAATATTCCTCTCCTGATAGAAATTATCTAAAATAATTTTATGTCTCTATATGTATCTCTGTCTCTCCTCTCTCTCTTTTACACACACAACACAAACCTGTAATATTTTCTAATTTAGTATCTCATTCTTCTATTATGATGTGTACTTTCCCATAAATTAATGCAACAACTTTAAGTTCCTATTTATTTAATAAAGCATTAGTTTGGATCTGTCAGCAGAATAAGTAAGAAAGGGATCGTCAACTTGAAAGGCTTCCTAAAGTTCTGAGCAATGGTAACAATCATATCTATGGTTAAAAGTTTGGAACAGTCTTTTACAGTTTGCATGGCTTTATCTTT